GTGGGCAGCAAGGTGCTTGCAGTGCGACATCGCAAAGTTAGCACCAAGCGCGAACTTTTGTCTTGCAACATTGGTGATAAGGATATCTGGCTTCGCATTGCTGACTCGGCCTCAAAACGCCGTGCATTGAGCCCAGCTTCTCGCAACTTATTGTTTTTCTGGCTGCAGTGGTCTTCATTGCCCCCTATCTGGCGATCCCTTCGTCCAATTGACACTATAATGGTGGAGGCTGCCGCCGATGCTATGGGCAATGGCCGTACATTTGCTATTGGCGGCTACATTGCTTTACCGGCTGGGGAATTCTGGTTCTCTGAAAGATTTACTGTGGAGGAATTTGCATTTGCAGAGCTTCCTCTTAAGTCCGAGGCGCACAAGGACATTACTTGCTACGAATGCTTGGGTCAGATTGCATTAGTTTGGCTTTTGAGTGCAGTTAACCCAGGATGCAGGCTTTCTGTTCGCATGCATTCCTGGTGTGACAACAGTGGTGCCGAGGCCACAGCAAACAAACTTTTTACGACTTCATGGCCTCTTGCTGCATTTGTGCAGCGACTAGCCATTTTGAGTAGCTTTACTGGTGTGCATCTTGACGTGCATCACATTGCAGGTCCTAAGAATGTGGAAGCGGACTTTTTGAGCCGTTGGCTTCCTCCTGCTCCATTACCTGATCGGTGGAGCATGTCGCGTCGTCGACGTATTCCTTTAACCTCATTATGGACTGCGTCGCCTTCCATTTCCCTTTCGCCGGAGGGCTGGAAGCCTCCTTTTCGCGTTCCGAGTGTTTCTCCATTAGGAGCAGCACTCTAATCACCTTGTCGCACGTTTTTCATTTGGTGGAATTGATGCGCGACTTCGGTTCTCTGGCAGATTGCATTTGGGAGAAAACATGCAGACCCTTTTCACAGGCAGCTTCTTGCTGCTGAAGCTCGGATCTGCATTTCCCGCCAGAGAACAAAAGGAGCGAGTGTTGTGCGAGTGACTGCATCAATTCCATTTGAATATTCCATTTGAATACTCTTTTGCTTTATATGTATTTCCATTACATATAAAGCTGCAAATAGGAAGCAGCTGCGAATACATTAACCGAACGGTATGTGTGCTTGCTCACGAGTGTTTGGTAATGTTTTGCATGCTTGCTGCATTCATGACATTCCATTGCATTGCAGCAAGCAGGCTCGCAGCTGCCAACTCGCCTGCATAGCGGGCAGAAACTTTGTCCCACCCACCTCTTCCCTTGTTTCTGGGTGCAAGTGCTGGCGTCTGCACTCTTACACTGCTTTAGCATTGCTTGCATTCGCATTCTCTCTTGTGCATTTATATGGTCTGTCCTTTAAAAGGATCGGTCCATCTGCATTCTCTCTCTCCATGGCAGGTCGGTGCCTTTTGATGCACCTCGATCCCATCGGGGGGGGAGAAAACATGCAGACCCTTTTCACAGGCAGCTTCTTGCTGCTGAAGCTCGGATCTGCATTTCCCGCCAGAGAACAAAAGGAGCGAGTGTTGTGCGAGTGACTGCATCAATTCCATTTGAATATTCCATTTGAATACTCTTTTGCTTTATATGTATTTCCATTACATATAAAGCTGCAAATAGGAAGCAGCTGCGAATACATTAACCGAACCCTCGAGGCCGGGGCACGTTCTTCGATTGACGCTCAGGTGAACAGCGTCACCAAGCCCAAGCAGACAGTGGCTTTAGCAAAGCTTCTGAGTGAAGTTGACTTCCCAGACAGGACATTGGCCAAGCAGGTGCGGGAAGGTTTTCCCCTGCTTGGCTGGATACAACCCAGTGGGCTGTGGCCGGTGCAGATCCTGCCTCCTTCTCTAGATGAGAAATCAATACTGGAAAACGCCCATAGTATAGGTATGCGTGGCATTCGCAGCGCGCTGCGCCCCTCGCAGGACGGGGTCTCGGACAAGGTCTGGGAAAGCACAATAGAGGAAGGCCAGCAGGGCTGGCTCTCTCTGGAAGACTTCTCGCCAGCAAAACTGCACGAGACGATAGTATCGTCTCGCTTTGGCGTTGTGCAAAAGGGCAAAGTGCGCCCCATTGATAACTTTAAGAGCAGTTTTATCAACAGCTGCTGCGGGACTACAGAGAAAGTCCAAGTCGACAGCATCGACGAGCTCCTCGCCGTGTGCCTCGAGTGGCTGCGCCAGGGTGTGCCCGCAGAGCAGGCCCACCGCATTGTAGGTAGGACCTGGGACCTCAAGAGTGCCTACAAGCAGCTTGCAGTGCAGGCTGCACACAAGAAATTTGCGTGCATCGTCATGGTGGACCCACAGAGTGGGAAGGTTAAAATCGCCCACCTACACAGCATGCCTTTCGGCGCAGTGGCCGCCGTGCACGCCTTCCTCCGCTGCAGCGAAGCGCTAAAAGCCATCGGCCGCGAGAAACTTGCTTTGGTGATGACGAGCTTCTTTGATGACTTCACGGTTCTGACGCGCAGCGCGCACTCGAAGCTCGTCACTTTGGCAGTGTCCAACCTTTTTAACAAGCTGGGCTGGCAAGTCGCCACAGAGCCCAAGAAGAACGCCGACTTCAGCGAAGTCTTCGACGTGCTAGGCGTGCGAGTCGACTTGTCTAAGCAGCGCCTTGGAGGAATCTCCGTCAGCAACAAGCCGACCCGTGCAGCAGAGCTGGGGATGGTCCTCAGCGAGGCCCTCACCCGCGGCAGCATGTCCCCACTGGAAGCGCAGAGCCTGCGCGGCAGGCTCATCTTTGCTGAGCAGCAAGCCTGGGGCCGCAACACCCGCATGGCAGTGATCTGCGTCGGCGACGTCCTTGAAGACGGACCAGAGCAAGTCCCCCTCACCGAGCAGCAGTGCCAGGCCATGGCGTTCCTGCTGCAACGAGTAGTGCACGGACCGCCTAGGACAGTGTCCATCCATGCGTGCAGGAAGGTGCACCTGTACATCGACGGGGCCTGTGAGTGGGAGACCCCGCGACTGGTGCCCAAGTGTGGCCTCGGAGCAGTGCGCATTGGAGAAGGCATCGCCTTCACCTGGGGGTTGCAGATCAGCAGCCAGGTTGCAGCCCAGTGGGTTGCCAGGGCACAAAAACAGCAGTTGGTCTATGAGTGCGAGCTGTTGCCCTATTTGCTTAGCCTTCAGATGTGGGCAAAGCATATTGCAGGCAGTGACCTGTTCGTCTGGATAGACAACGACGCAGCGCGTACTTCCTTGCACAAGGCCTTCACACGGAAGGTGGAAGGCGCAGCGATAGTCTCGCAAGCGGTGGATCTTGAAGAGTCCCTGCAGTGCAGGGCTGCTTTCTTCCGTGTCCCGACAGACAGCAACATCGCTGATGGCCCCAGCAGAGACTGGTGGGAAGAGACTCAGAGGCTAGGCGCAGCGCGCCAATACCTGCCGCCCAACGCAGTGCCGTTGGCTTTGTCACTCGGCGCGGACTGAATGGGGGTGAGTAAGGCTTCGAGTGCCTTCAAGGGGGGTGAACCAGTCGTTCGCCTTACCGTCGACCAGCGGTCGAGTTTTTCCGTCAAGATGCCAGTGGCATCGTTTCTTCAGTGCCCGAAGATCGGGCCCGAACTGACCCCCCATGTCCGCTAGGAGAAAAAAGAGAGAGTGCTTTGCACAGGGTTCCTCTGCAGCGCAGTTAGGGTTTCCCAAACGCGCGCTAACGGAAGTTTCGTTGGAAAATAAGCATCCATCATGCGTGCGTGAATGGGTTTTATTTTCCGCCGAAAGTGTAGACAAAGTTTGTCGAAAAAGGAAAACAGTGTTTTCACTTGTGTGTGAGTGACACTAGACAAGCTTTGCCGTGCAGCTTTCGGCTTGAAGTTGGATCTGTGATCCAAAAAGTTTTTATCCCACCCACCACACCCTGTATAGTATGCGGGGAATGGGACACCGCACAGTCAGCAGAGCTGCTAGGAGCAGCGCTCCTATGCTACCTCTAGCAGAGTTGCGTCAGCACAGAGTGCGCTTTGTACATAGGCCGTAGGCCGTCAAGAATACAGAGTAGCAACTGGTAGCTGCAGTGACCCAGTAGGTCAACTTATGTTTCACCTTATTCTCCCGTTGTACGGGTTGTCCCTTGTAGGGGTCCTAAGGGGCGGTGAACCAGTCGTTCGCCTTACCATCGACCAGCGGTCGAGTTTTTCCGTCAAGATGCCAGTGGCATCGTTTCTTCAGTGCCCGAAGATCGGGCCCGAACTGACCCCCCATGTCCGCTAGGAGAAAAAAGAGAGAGTGCTTTGCACAGGGTTCCTCTGCAGCGCAGTTAGGGTTTCCCAAACGCGCGCTAACGGAAGTTTCGTTGGAAAATAAAAATGCATGTTGCCAGCCTCCTGCTGGCCTTTACCTTCCCTTAGGGAAGACGGATATGAGGTACTTGAGACGTCATGCTCAACTCGCAAAACAGATTCCTGCCTGTATTGGCACTTTTGCAGCCTTGCATCGTCAGTCTCGCTGTGTTCAGCTGGCTGTCATAGCATCAAAGACGATGTGGATCCCTGATGCCACAACGCCTGGTTCCGAGCTCTCAGAGTGAGTCGTTCATCACCTCGCTCTGACAGGACGCCTGCTAAGGTCAATCTGAGAGGGGAAATCGCTCTCCGCTTTCAGGGACCGTCTTTGGGGAAGCTAAGACTTCTGAAATCCACAAGAACCGAGATCTTGCTATCCCCATCTGGAAAAGAGAGAGTTGCGTGTGCCTTACAAGATTTATGATTGCAGTGAATATTTGTACTTGTGGACTTGTCCACTGATGTTTTGCATTTGGAAAAACAGTTGCTTTTTTCCTTTTGGCAAAACTGGAAAGTTTTCCGTATTCGCCTTTGCCAGTGCCCGGGTCAGCTTGCTTCAGCATTGGTCCTTGCATATACAGTCTTCCTGCATTCCATTTTGGATCAAGTTACGGCGAAGTCGCTTCGCAATTTTGATTTTGGGCCTCTCTAGAGTCCTGTAAGTGCTGCCTAACAGGTTCCGGGGGCTAATTCCAAGGCTTCTAGCTCCTCGGGGCCTGGGTAGCGCTTTGCATGGTGTCAAGAGCCGAGCTTGAAGAGTTCCGTCAGTACTTCGAGTGCTCACTTCTCAGCTTGGTTCGTGGTGCATCCTCGGAGGCCAGGAAGGACGTGGATAGTGCTAGAACTGACTTCATTGACGCATTGCAATCCTTCAGGGACGACACTCTTGAGGCTCTGACAGCTCTGCACGAGCGCGCCGACACCTTGCTTGAGAATCAGTATAGGCTTCAAGCCCAGTTCGCGATTTTGCAGCAGCGCATCACTTTGCTTGAGGGTGAGCTGGATTGCACAGACGGGCTAAGTTTTCTTGATTCCCTGGACTAGTGTGTTTTTGCTGCGCGACATGTCGTCCAGGCCTACAGACCCCGATGATAGATCTCGCTCAGGAAGGTCGCGGGGCGGCCCATATGCTGCCCCTGTGCTGCCTGCGGTGGGTTCTTTAGGCCTAGTCCCCCTCCCTCTTTCGGGTCTCTTCGGTTTAGGCGTGCGCCTCCCCGAGCAGGGCATTCCCTGCCCACCTGCAAATAGGCATGTGCATTTGAGGCCGCCGGCTCTGCCGGCCCGTCTGACGCCTTTCACACCGCCGTTCCAGGTCCCGCATGAGGTGCAGGAGCCCCCACCAACCTCAGTGCTGGGAGCTGTTGGGTCAGTATCGAACAAGTGCCCGCGCGCTTGCATAGGCCATCCGGGCCCACTCGGCAGCTTGCTCTCAGGTGGCAGTGAACCTTATGTTGCAGCTTCTTGCCTTCCTGGGGTCAGAATCCAGCTTTTTCTCTGCCATTCAATCTGCAGTGCATTTCGATGCACATGTTCGCCGTGTCCTGGCAGGGTTTGCCGCAACGACAGTCATCAGGTACATCACTACCTTTAACTCCTTCGCTAAAGCTTGCGAGGACTTGGATGTGTGTCTTCTTGAGATTACTGCTGTGCAGGCGGCCGACATTTTGGTCACTTTGCAACTTCAGAAGCAAGAGGATCCTACCGTTGGATCGTCGGCCATCACCTGCATCAAGGCTGTGCGATGGGTTTGCAAGAACACTCAGTGCATTGTGTTCGAGGTTTTTTATTGCGAGCTGATTTCATCCTTCTTGAAGACCAAGCTGCCCAGGGACCGCAGGGAGAGCCTGCCCCTGCCGCTGTTTGCACTTGTGCAGTGGGAACGACGCATCCTTCAGCGCTCCACCTCGTTGGTGGACGTCGTGCTGCTTGGAGCCTTCCTCGTCACATGTTGGTCGAGTCTTCGTTTTGCTGACAGCCAGCGCATAGAGTGGAGCTCATGTGCTTTCGACGTGGTGTCGCTTCGGGCCATTGCATACCAGACGAAAACCTCACACCAGGGCCAACCCTTCGGCCTGATCGCGCAAGGCTTCTTGCATCATGGTGCACATTCTTGGGTGGCTAAGTGGCTCCGGGTTCTGGATTCCATCGCCTCGCAAGAGGTGCGCGATTTTGGATTGGCCCCTAGTTTTTTCTTTCCGGCACTTGACGATGACGCCGAATTGATTCGACCTCTTGAACCGATGAGTTACCCCTCGTGCTTGCGCTGGTTGCGCTACTACCTGCAGTTTCCATGGATGGGGTCTCCTCCCGCGGTGCCCGTATCCAGCTATACGGTGCATTCCATGAAGTGTAGCCTCTTAAGTTATATGCTTGAGGTGCCGGACATCCGCGGTCCCGACAGGGACGCTCAAGGACATCGTAGGGGGAGTAGCAGGGAACTTTACAGCAGAGACGATGTGCTGGGGGCACTCCGTGCCCAGACACAATTGAGGTCTGCAGTCTTGGCGGGCTTTCGCCCGAGGACGCCATTGCACCGTGGAGCGCAGCTCCCCATGGCGCCGATTCCCTTCACACTGGAAGCTTCCTGCAAAGAGATCGATCAAGCACCCTGGGGTTTCTTCTCCTTCGACGTTCGTGTCCCGGGGTCGCTACCTTGGGTTCCTGGGCAATCTTCGGCATGCGCTGAGGCAAGCCCCGCTTTGGAGGAGCATACCGACGTGGCTGCAACCACCGGCACCGAGGCCGCCGGCCTTTCTTTGGCCGACTCCGCATCCGAGGCTGGCTCTGAGTCCAGTGTTGAGGGCGGTGCAGGGCTCGAGTCACTCGGCCCCCCCCAGACGAAGTGCACATGGTCGCCGCAACAGGCGTTGTGCATGCAGCATGCCCGTCAGGGGGGAGAACGCTTTGTGGCATTGGCATGTCGGGCCCATGTTGGCGGTCGATCCACTCGCTTAATTCCAAACATGTTCTTTGCAGGCGAACCGCCTGTGTTAACGCCTTCGCAGCTCCGGAAGTCTAGTAAAAGTGCATCTTGAAGCTTTTGTCTTTGGTCGGTCTGCGCTTGCATTTCAGCTTGCACATGTTTCTTCATGCATGCCACATTCTTTGAATTGAGCCTGCCAGGACGCTGGTCTCCTCTCGCATCCGTCGCTTCAGGCCCGAACTGTTAGTTCTGCTCTCGCACCGTGGCTGATGCAATGTTCGATGATAAATCCGTGGATGGATCATTCAATCTGGTGAATCCTTCACCCTGCCAGCTTAAAGCAGAAGGAGCCTCAGGCTTCCATCAGCTCCTTCAGGATCACGGCATCAGCCAGGAGCTCACGGATCGGCTGCTCGCCGACGGTTGGGATGCGAAATCATTTCGCCATGTTGTCTGCCAGGAATCAGAGTTTGCGGGGGTCCTCCCTGAGATGTTCCCGGACACTGAAGTGTCGTTGATGCAGCGTGCCAAGCTGCGAGCCGTGTGGTCGTCGCTGCAGCGACGAGGCAATGCAGAGACTGCCCCTGCAGAACCGTTGGGTTCCCCGGCCAAACAAGGCTCGGGCTGGTCGGAAGTCGGAAGCCTTCGCCCCTAAGCTTGATGCCTCACGTGTTGCCACGCTTAAAAAACGATTCTTGGAAGCCTTCCCTTCCGAAATCTTGACTGCCATCCCGTGGAAGAGCCGCATGACACAACAGATGTATGAGGATTCCCTCATGCAGAAGCCTGCCAAAAGGGCCAGGATTGAGACCCTTCAGCTTTCGGACCTCTTACTTGACGAACCGCCGCAGATCGACATCAATGATTCCACAATGGGGATTTCGATGATCCGTAGACTGTTGGAGGTGCATGACAATGCCCTCGCTCTTGCAGGTACCGCGCGAGGCCTTAAGGCTTACACTTCTAAGATTCTAAGTTCTTGAGCCTGGTTTCGCAGAAATTCCCGCCTGAAACCAACCTTCGGCCTCCCTCCGTTAAGCGGACAAGCACCTTTGGTCGTGCATCTTTCAATTAGTGATCGAGAAAGAGTGGCAGGTGAACGACGCTATCTACGAGTTCACAGAGATCCGCGGTGACATGTCATCATGGCTGCAGCCTCGCGCCAAAGCGGCTTCCGCCAGCAATCGTAGGCCGTACACGCCAGGTGGCCGCGACAACCGCCCCCACCCCGCCGCCAGGTCGTGGCTCTGGCCCCACCAAGCAAGGCACCCAGCCTAGGGGCGTTCAGTGGGTTCGTGAGTTCAAGGAGGGCAGCCAGGTGAAAAAATTGTGCATAGGGTGGCAGATCGGGAAATGCCAGCGTGGAAATTCCTGTGAGTTAGCAAGGACAATGGTGCGCCACAGCGCCCAGAGAAGTGACAACATGCGCTCGGCTCGCCATGAGCCAATCCACAGCTGGGGTGAGCTGCCTGCTCCCCCGCCACTGCCTCCCTCTGTCCCGCCATCGCAACAGCAGGCTCCCCAGAGCTCGCAAGTTTTGGATTTCAGCTTTCCGCCACTGCCGCCAAAGCTCCTTTCTGCCGATAGTGAGTGCAGTTTCTGTGTCACCGCCTCAGGAGGCCGTACCCTCCGTGCGTCATATACTTCCATCGCCTTCGGGGGACGTTCCCCCTTCCTCATGCGCTTCAAGCACTTCTAAATTGCCGATGCCGCCCGGGTGTGACACTGCTCTTTCGGGTCGTGCGCTTGCATTCTCCACTTGCTGTGGGCCCTCCTTGGAAGGCTTGTTCGATTGCATTTTGTGCTCTCACTGCGGGAGGCCCCTTGGCCCCAACAGGTTCGCAGCGCTCACATCATTTCCGGCGCCTCTGCTGAATCAGGCTATTTTAATTTCGGGGTTCAAATTTCTAGGCGCTCTGCGCCTACTCAGGTCACCACTGCCCTGCCTGAACTTTGCAGAGACTTGAATGCCCTCTTCAGGTTCCTCTTTCCATCTGAGCATTGGAACTCTTTGTGTGTCTCGCGCAACGGTCTTAGTTCGCTGCACTCCGACACCGCGAACCTAGCTGGCTCGCCCAACTTGTCACTCTCACTGGGCTCCTTCTCAGGTGGCCGCCTGTGGCTTGAGGACCTGTCCTGCCTCTCACAAGGCCAACCGATGTCGATTGCATCCGCATCGGGCTGGCTACATGGCTGCGCTATCGATACGCACGGTAAAGCCATCAGCTTCGATGGCCGTACTAGGCACATGACACTTCCTTTCTCGGGTGAGCGGTCTTTTCCCTTCCAGACGTGTGTTGTGGCGAACTTGATTTTTGGGTTTCCCCCTGCCGCCACCACTTGCTGTCACAGCCTCGCCCTCTCCCCCCTTGGGTTCTAGTCCTTCCCTAGCCGCTGCCGCCTCACCAGCTGGGTTCCAGGAAGAAGCTATCTCTTCACCGTGCTTGCCAGCAGGGGAGAACCTTGAATCAGGAGTTCTGCCACCCGGCAGCTGCTTGGGGTCTGCCTCCAATGTGGCAACAGCCCACCCTCTGGAGCAGCGGTGCCCTTCCGCACAGCCACCGCTCCAGGCTCCAGGTGCTCCCTCGACATCCAAGCAGCAAGGGCCTCAGTCGTGCCTGCAATCTGCGGTTCAGGCCATGCCGGCATCTTCCAAACTGCCGCTGGGGTGCAAACTGTGGGGGAAGCGCTCCACATCAGGCTTCTTTCTCTCGCGCAATTAAGCTTCGGGGCACGCCCCTTGTCACCGCCGGAAGGCGCTTGGCGTGCTGATATTTGCAGCTCATCCCTCCCCGGCACGCATTTTCCTCGAGATCACCTGGCGCAACCAAGCGAATCATCAGCTCAGCCTGGCGGTCCGTGCTTCAGGTGGCAATTGAGCAGGTCCTGTTCCTTTGCGGATAAGGCGCTGTTGCGTGCCTGGCAGCATCGCCTCTGACCGAGTCAGAGTTCTCCCCAAGCCACACAGGTTCCTCCTCGTGGCTTCAGTCGGCCATGCACGAGCAAACGGCAGCGGCGAAGGTGTCCCGCTGCGCCTGGCTTCTCAGCATTGTACACACTGCCGGGGGTCAAGGGCATCTGGAATTGCCCCCCTCTTCTTCTTACTGGTCTTCTGAGCGCCCCCAAGCCTGGGTGTGCCAGGGCTGCTGCGCTCTTATCTTGGTGCCTCCATTGCTGCGTCCGGCTTCGGCCACTTCGGACCAACCCCAGCTTGGGGCCGCGTCTTACCGCCCGCTGTCCGTCCTGGCGGCCAAATCGTCCGCTCCTGCACTCCCACAAAGCGGTCATGCATTTGCATCTTCGTTTGCTAGTATTGAAGTATTGCTGCCCCTCTCCTCCCGGGGGAAGGCCGCGAGCTCTCTTTGCAGTCGGCCGCGGCTGCCATTCCACGAAAAAGCCTCTTTGCCGGCCCGCGCGCACTTCACGATGGCTGGGAAATGCTCCACTGCGGATTGGAGCAGCCCGGGATGCCACGACTCTCTTCATCTCTGTTCGTGCCGACAAACGCTTGCTCGCTCGAGGTTCCGGCCCGTCACCTGAGCCGCTTTTCAGCTCCACCGAAGTGTCCGCTGCCAGGGATCTGGTTTTTCCTTCTCTTGGTTTGCAGACCCCAGACAATGCTTGGTATGTGCATCCATACCAGCCCATGTGCTTGGATGCATTTGAGGCCCTGGCCCAACACTGCGGTGATCAAGATGTTCATTTGTTTTCTCACTTGAGGATGGGTGTGCCGACGGGATACATGAACGATATCCCTCCTTCAAACTGCTTCTGGCCTCCCAAAGGCCAATCCGGGGAGCTGATACCGCGTGATGCCCTGCCGATCTCGTTGACCTTCGTGTTCCCACGGAAAAGTGTCTGACCGAGTGCGGAAGGTTCTCATTTTCCGTTCTCGGGTTTAGGGTTTAGGATTTGGTTTAGGGCAACGTTTTTCCTTAGCAGAACGATGAAGGATTTCTCCTTTCTACATTCGAGATAAGAGCTTGCTTTTATTAAGAAATTTTCTGCCGGTCTTGCGAGTGATAAATAACTTAAATAATATATAATATATACTATATAGTATATAATATATAACAATAATAACAATAATAATATTATTAATAATAATACTATATATATATAAATACACATGAAAATATCTAAATACATATGTGTGTATATACATATATAAATCTATATATAGGTTGAGGGTTTAGGGTCCTTTTGTTGATATCATATGCACATAATGCACTAATAAGGACGCAAAAATGCTCCTACTGCATGACCGATTGACGTGCATGAGTCAATCATGCACATGCACGCAGCATGCACAGCAAAAATAGCATGTCTGGGCACTCTGGCAGCAACTTTTGGAGGCACGGATCGTCCGACGATTGCACACTCACTCGAAACAAAGATCTGGCCCGAAAACTAGCTAGCATAGGCTACAGATGCAACTCCCACAAAGGCATCTCAAAGGCATCTCCGTTTGGAAACTGCTTTCCAAACACCCACGCATGCTTAAGATTGGTGCACAGACTTCATCAAAAGTTCCTTGACCTCGGCCGGGTCTGTGCCCGAGTCGAGCTTGGGGACACCCAAACGCACAATCTGCGACCTCACTATCAACGGATCTTTATCACGACAAAGGACTCGAAACAACTGGGACTTGCCCTTCTCACGGGTGCCGTAGGCATTCTTTGGAAACTTGTAGTACATGATGCTCCACTTCGAGTTCACCGTGCAGCTCAGATTCGGCTTGTCTGACTTCTTGTCGGACTTTGCAACGGCCTTGGCCTTCGATTTCGCCTTCGGCTTAGCGACCGCTGCCGAAATCTCTGCTGCGACCTCTGACGGAGCTGGGTCCTTCGCTTCGGGTTGAACTTTCGAGGCTGGCTTCTTCTTAATCGGAGTCTGATTTTTCGACGCTGGCTTCTTCTTCGCAGCCTTCTTAGCCTTTGCCTTCGGCTTAACCGGGGGATCCTTGGTGCCAACAGGGAGCTCCGTGAGGTATTCCGTGCCGTCTGCGAAGGTCGCGAAGTAGAAGGCCTCCGAGCCCTTTTGAAACAGGTCCACGTGCTCCTCCAAGGTGCCGTCGGCCTGCATCCGGACTGCCTTCCATGCGGAGAAATCAGTCCAAGGCGAGGAGCATGGTGCTCCTGAGGAGCAGATTGCTCCTTCGCCAGCCTCCTTAATCCCCCCATCCTCTTCGCTCGAAACCTCTACGATGTCGTCCCCATGGACTCCTTGCTCAAGTCGACGTCCTTGCCCTTGTGACTGGGCATCTTGGAATCTTGGAGGCCTGCTTGCACATGGTACTGGGGCTGGGCGGAGCCAGTGCTGTCACAGGTTCCGGCCTCGACGGTGAACCTGAGCTTTCCTGGACCAAGTCCTGCATCCATGCAAGAAGCCTCGAACAGTCCATGCTGTTTCTTGTCTTGCGGTTCACATGGCTCATCATGTTGGTGATCCCCTGGGCCTCTTGCCGAAGTGTGCGGTACCCATGTGGACCTGCCCTCAGGAGTCGGTTTGCATGAAAATTGTCTAGCTTCACCAAAGCATGCTTGAGATCGGCAGGAACGATTTGTTTGGATATCTTGAACAATTTCAAGAAGTTCACATGAAGTTCGCAGACGCCATCCATCTGCATGCCTGACCAACCGAAGAGACCCCGCTGATCCATGTTTGGATCCTCATCCATGACCTGCTTGACTAACAAGGGATCCAGGTAGCCGCACATAGCATGATAGACCTTCTCGCCCGTGGAGGTCATGGCCTACGAACCCAGCTACGACACCTGCAGGAAAATGCCCTAGGCCGGACCAAGAGCATGCACGAATCGCTTCCTTCCCTGCACACGCATGCCTCTCGAATGCATGCTTCGACAAAGGCACAGATCGATTTCGCACAAACTGCATTTTAGCTTTCAGGACTGGGCGTCCACCAATCTCTTATCATCTATACTCCAGGTGTATGTATATACACAATTCCAAACACGTACGCCATAGCTACCGTGCTAAATTACTGTACATGAGCACGGGTCCGAAACTTTGTACAGCAGCAGCAGTTTGTGCGGGCCTTCCTTGCTTTCTTCAGTAGACGCAAGTACCACGCCACCCCATGCACAAATTACTGTTATATATATATATATATATATATATATATATATATATACATATATATATATATATATATTTTATATAACAGTATATACAATATACTTTCCTACCTATATGGGTAGCCATTTTGGCTCAAGGTTTTGGCTCCGATGCGGAGTTCACATGTGAAAAATTTTGAGGCCTCCATGTCCCCTTGACATTCTAGCAGGCCTCAGGTGCTAAACTCGGTGTTGGGGCTAGCCCGCCAGTGCGTGCATGGGCAGCGAAGGTTCCCTGGAGCCCGAGCGTGACGGAATCCCCAGTGCTGAGTTATATCAGCTGATTCGAGGGTTGCATCAGAGGGTCCTTCGTCTTGAGAATCAAGTTGCGGACTTGCTCGCCGCGGGCGCCAGTGACTCTGATAGTCAGCTGTCCCTCATTGACTTCAGTTGCATTTGGGGCTCTCCGAACATTCTGCCAGTCCTGTGGGGCTTCTGTGACGCTCGATCGCGGGCACGCCTGCTACAGTTGTCAGGTGACATATCCTTCGATCAGGTCCGTCCGCAGGTGCATGCATTGCTGCTTGCTCAGGGTTTCCCCTGAGCCATGGAGCCTTCACAGGCCCATTCGGCCATGGATCGCGCATTGGACTCAGATACTCCTCCGCCCGTAGGGTTTAGGATGGGGGACTGGTTTCGGGCTAGGATTAGGTCTGCTAGGGCACCCTATCAGACTTCAGTGCACCATGCCATGTCTGTCTTGAGCGCGGCTGCTATCGACATGCCGCTTCCTTGGGAGTCAGGTTCGCTTGCGGCTGTGTTGGGGGCAAGGCATTTCCTTCCTGCGCCACTCGTACCATTGGTGGCCGAGCAGGTTGGGGACCAGCCACAGGTGAAGGAAACGGCTCAACGAGTTAGGGCGTCTAAGGAACCTTGGAAGTCTTCGGTCGTGCATTCTCGTGCCTGGGCGGATGTCGAGGACGATAAGAGGACCTCGGTGCTTGAGATGTGGAAGCTCATTGTACTGACTTCAGGAAGAGGGACTAAGGTAGGCCGGGATCTTGTTAAGATGCAGAGCGAGGGTTCCCCAGCCGCCTTGGTCGATCAGTGCCTCCGTGATGTGTTCTCGGCAAAGTCAACTTCGACCCTCAGGTCGAGGGCATCCAGCCTGGCCCAGTTTTCCAGGTGGCGGGCATCGGTCGGCCTTGACCCTGCAGTGTTTCCTCTTGATGAGTCTGATGCATACCTTTACTTGTGCTTCCTTAGGACCGAGGGGGCACCCCGGTCAAGGGCGTCCAGGTTTCGAGAAGCGATTAACTTCTCCGGGGCATTGCTCGGGGCAGACGTAAGCGAGGTTGCTTTATCTGCTAGGGTTCAGGGGGCCGCGAATCCTCAATCCCAGACCGTTGTGGTGCGCAAGAAGCGGCCGCTTACAGTGGCCCAGGTCCGTGGCCTGGAGGAGTGCGTGATCAGCTCACCTAATGTTTTAGCTGCAGTGCTTGCTGGCTTCGCCTTGTACTGTCTTCACGGCCGGCTGCGTTGGAGCGATGCCCAACATACCGAGGCTGAGCCTGTGCTTGACTTGCATGAAGGAAAGGGTTTCTTGAATGCTCAGTTGTATCATCATAAGACTGCCAATCGTGGGTCGCTTGCCCGCCATAGGCTTTTGCCAGTCGCTTGTGTTACTCCAGGCTTGGCCGAGGGAAACTGGGCTGAGGCTTGGCTAGATCGCAGGCGAAGGTTTAACCTTGTTGCTTCCCGTGGCACCCCTATGATGCCGAGACCATTGTGCCAAGGGGGGTTCGACGTGCTGCCCCTCGATCCTTCGCTAGGGGCCCTAAGGAGATCCTAAAGGAGTGTGCGCCTTGTGGGAATTCTTTCCCGTGGGGTGAGGTTGCCACGCACAGCCTTAAGGCTACGCTTCTGAGCTTCATGGCAAAGGCAGCTGCGTCTGAGAACCTCAGGTCCATTGCGGGATATCATATCAGGTCTGCGAATTCTTCCACTCTTGAATACTCTCGGGATTCAATGGCACCATCGTTGCATTTTCTTGAGGGCATGTTCATTGCTATCAAGGGTGGCATTTTCGCTCCAGATTCGACCAGGGCCGGAAGGTGGACAGGGGGCATTCGCTCCATTGAGGAGGCTCTCCGTTTCCTGTCTGGGGTCCAGCCGGACCCACCAGACGATCGGCCACCGCCGGTGGACGCGCCGGAAATCGAACCTGGGGATCAGTCAGATCCTGAGTCCGCTGCTGAGAGTATCGGAACGGAGGGCGAGGCTGATGAGGCCGTTGTCTCCGCATATTTCTTGGGTGAGGAGCTGAACGTTTCTGCGGAGGCCCGAAGTTTTGTCAAGTGTTTTAGGCATCGTATGAGTGGAGTTGTCCACGCGGCTCGGGATGGCCAGCCTCCTGATGAGGGCGAGATGACAGTCTTCAGATGTGGACGTTTTGCAAACCGTAATTATGAGGAGCTCGATGCAACTCCGGCAATAATCTTGCAGAAGTGCTCTTCGTGCTGGGGAGCAAGTGACTCGGGCCTTTGAGGAAAATTGAACCGGGGCGCGTTCTGCAGTTTGTCGTGGGTAGTCATTTAAGCTGCTTCGAAGCGAACGAGGATTTTCCATCTCATGTTCGATGTGACTGTGCTGCATGTTGTTTGAGGATGCTCACGCTGACACTTCATGTCACATGTTGTCATGTTATGCAGTTTTCCGCTCATGAGCGCATCCAGGTGACCATGCACGGTGAACATGTTCCTGTGTAGGTGCTTTGCTTGACATATCGGCATAGCTCTGTAATTTTCCGTCTAGGGACACATGTGACATTTTTCGTAGGTTGCGTCTTGCGGGTGTAGACATGTCCGCCATCGATAGCGAGGCTGTGTTCTTGTCAAAGTGCACTCAGCTGGGGCTGCCCGAGGATGCTCGGGGAAAGCTCAAACGAAAGGGCTGGGCCACTTTCGGCACTTTTGCATTCTGCGTGCCAGGGGAGCCCGGAAGGATTCCCGATGATGTCTTCAAAACTTCCGTTGTGCAGCCAATCCTCGGTGATGGGGGTGAGGAGCATCAGGCGAAACTTAGGCGGCTCCACTTTGAGGCATATGCTTTGACAGCAGCTGAGCTGAAGCGGACGGCCGAGTCCACGGAGTCTGATCAACCGCGTAAGGTCCCGGCAGAGCTCGCTGCTCGTTATGATGTGTTGCAAAAGCGCGTTAAGCCTCTCCGGCTTGTGGACCGCTTGGAGCCTTCGCATGCGCTTGTGAACCTGTCAGCCCAAATGCTTGAGGATCAGCGGGTGCGCTACATTGAGTGGTCGAAGTGTACCAGTCGTGCCCAGGAGATAAATCTTGTGAAGGAGGACGCTAGCTTGAAGCTGCTTCAGGGTGGCCGCTCAGGATCCGTCAAGCTAGTGGATCCCGGTGCAAAAATCACTGCTGATACTAAGTCTGACCTTGAGGTGATGCAGGCCTTGCGTCGCAGAGGGGTGGCATATGAACTTGCTGCCATCATGTCGTTCGAGAGGCACGAGGAATTGATTGACCGACTGTTCATGGAGTACCAACGTGAGCCCATGGCTGGGTTTCACCCCGTCTCCTTCTCTCAACTTCAGGCTGCGGACAGGGAGGTGCATGTTCGCATGGGGGAGCTCACCCGAGCTGGACTTGTGCCAGGAGCGGATGGCTCCTTGCCGCTTGACATCCCAGTGTCTCGGGTGCTGGCGGGCTCCCACATCCAGTGGATGTTGATGCCTCGGCAAAAGGGGTCCGGTCCTTGGGCAGTTCGGGCGCTGGTGAGGCTGCTTATGAGAAGCCAGACAAGCCACCGCGCAAGCCGCCCAAAAAGACGGATCCGTCGAAGGCGACGGATAAGGGTCAGGGCGCCGATAAGAATCAGAAGGCTGATTCCGGTGCATCGCCGAATGCGGCTGAGCGACCTGGCAAGCCACGGAAGACTCGCTTCGTCATGCCAAAGGCGCTCATCGGTGGGGTCCCCAAGGACGGGGCCGGGCGTAACATCTGCTTCGATCATAACCTTGGGAAATGTCCCAATGCTGCGGGGGCCTGCCCAAAAGGGGAGCATGTGTGCTGCTTCCCTGCATGCTTCGATGCCTCGCATGTTTTCTCCCACCACAGGTCGTCGTGACTAGGGCCCGTCCGCTCTAGTTCAGGCCACGTACACAATGCAACACATGTGCATGACACGGCCACCAGCCATTTTGGCAATGATCGTGATACGAATGCGGAAGTTTTTGCTGCTACCTTGATCGGCAAAGTCGATGCGGGGGGCATTCGTCGTCTTTGGGAGCTGCTTCTCGGAGGCACCGTCGCGCGGTTCGCGTGAGGTGGGCCGTGGGTCCGAATTTTCTTTCACCACAGGTGCTTACACCTATGATCATGGCCAGCGGCACGGCCTTCGCCAACATTGCCGCGACTTTCCGATGTCCACTAAGGTTCTGAATGAGTTTATGCGTTCGATGGCGCCGGGCGCCTGCTACACTACACTGGCCTTGTTTCGTGATCTTGAGACCCGTGTCCACTCAGACCACGGAAATGATCCCAGCCTGATGAATACCATTCTGAAGGTTTCTGAGTTCAGCAACGGCGGCCTCTGGGTCGAGACGGTGGGCGGCAAGGTCCCGTGCCCGCTTCCGCATCAAGGCCAAAGGATGGGTAAAGTTGTCGAGTTTGCCAATGGTGCATTGAGCTTCGATGCCCAGCAGCCGCACTGCGTTATGCCGTGGTCTCGAGGACCCCGCGTGGTTCTTGTGGCATTTAGTGTACGGAACTGGGCAAACTTGCGTCGTGCAGACTTGACGGAGTTGTCAAACCTGGGGTTTAGGTTGCCAACCTTGGGCCCTGAGGCGCCAACCCCGGCGCTTGCAGCTTCACCTGTCACCCTGTCTCCTCAGGCGAGCGTCCCAGGGACTGCGCCTGCCGCAGCGGATCATCCTGATCTCAGTGGGTCAACCGTGGCTCGTGATGTGACGGCCACTGCGCAACCTTCCTTCATCGAGTTGTTCTGTGGCTCTGCTGGCCTTTCGGCCGAGGTGCGCAAGCTGGGGTTCCGCGTGTTGGGAGTTGATCACAAACCCACCGCTAAGCATGCCAATGCACCTTTCGTCAGCTTGGACTTGCGCGACCCAGAGCAGCAGGACCGCATTTGGGTCGAGTTGCGCCGTGCTCAGGCCGTGTGGATTGCTCCCCCGTGTGGGACTGCTTCGATTGCGCGGCAAATCCCTCTTGGACGGTCGGCTAAGGGACCTGCACCCTTGCGGAGCCCGGCTTTTCCAGACGGGTTGGCATCCTTGCGTCCCGAGGATCATGCTCGAGTACAAAGTGCAAATCTTTTGTATGCCTTTGCCGCCAAAGTTTGGGCGTTCTGTCTTGAACACGATATCCTTTGCATTGTGGAGAACCCGGCATCAAGCCTCATGTGGCAAACGTCGTGGTTTAGGACACTTGTCCCGCGTGGCGTGTGGCACGAGCTGCATTCTTGCATGTATGGATCTGCTCGAAGCGACACATGAGGCTTGCCTCTATTAGCTTTATTTTCCTAGGAGAGTTTTGAAAATTACTGCGAAGTTTTCAAAACGCCTTTGCTTTATTTTGAACCACATTTCATGGCATGAATGCATGCTTTGAATCGTCTGAGTTCATCTCTTTTATTTCCCGCGCCGCCTCGAGACAGGGGTGGGATGGGTGGGTAGCTACTCCCTGGCCAAAGGGCCGGAAAATTTTGTAGTGGGGTGTAGCGTTTGCCATGCTGGCCTGACAAGGCCGAGTTTGCAGCCAGCATGTCAGGGGATGACTCTCTTGAAAGTAGCCTCAAGAAGGCTCGCGTGCATGGGGCTTATGAGGGTCACCATGTGTCGGCCACGCGTGTTGCATCCCGAGGGCTTGGAAGCACAGTTAGGATGCCGTGGGAAATAGCTTCTGCATTTCTTGACATGCCTGCTTTGCCCTCGCCTATCGCAAAAGGGGGATGCATTGTGTCAGCGCCAGTGGGGCCGGCCGGTCCTGCAGGGCCGGTGAAGTCGTCTTCGGGAAAGCTTGAGTCACTCAGGCTTGCGGGAGTGAAGATTCCGAGTGTGCCGGGACAAAGCTGGGATCAGAAACTCTCTGAGGCGAGGGAAGCAGCTTTGGCAAAGTGGCTAGGGATTCTTGAAAGGTTCCCTGACGATTTCGGTCTTTCTCTTTCGATTCGGCTAGATAAGGAGAACGGGCGAGACTCTGACTTGAAGTCTTCCTTGCAAGATGTGTTTTCTCAGAAGGCGAGCGTCACGATCTCGGGCCGTGCTGGGCCCCTTGCCAGGTACATCAAGCACTGCCGAAGTTGCCAGGTCATTCCTTTCCCTGTCACTGAAGCAGGGATCTATGCTTTCCTACAGGATTATGCATCTCACGAGGCGCCCACTTTCGCCAGGAGTTTCTTGAGCAGCCTTGCTTTTGCAAAGTTCACTGTGAGCTTGAAGGTGAGTGATGAGGTCTTCAGCCCCAGGGTCCGTGGGCTGTCGTCGAAGCTGTATCTTGAAAAGAGGAAGACTCGGCAAAAGCCGTCGCTCAAAGTTGATCATGTGCGGAAGTTGGAGGCTATCGCTTCCGGGTCGATCGTGCTCGAGCCTTCAGACCGGGTCGCTGCTGGCTTCTTCGTGTGGACCTTGTATGCACGAGCGAGGTACTCGGATGCCCAAGCTGCAGGTGCAATGACTTGTGACTTAAGCGATACGCCGGACGGCACAGTCGGATACCTGGAGTCCGCTGTCGAGCGAAGCAAGACTTCGTTCTCACTGGAAAGAAAGGTCAGGTATTTGCACATGTTTGCTCCCATCCAAGGTATAGGTGAGGTGCCCTGGGGTGTCAAGTGGTTTGAGTTCTATAAGGAGCATGGGCCTCCTTTGGGGTCGGGCAAGCCCTTGCTTCCGAGCCCGCTCTCTGGCGGAGGGTGGCAAACATCGCCGCTGGCGGTGGCGAGTGCCACGAAATGGATGAAGTCACTCTTGATCCGTGCGGGTTGTGACAGGTCTTCCGTTGAACCGCTTGGGACGCATAGTCTCAAGGCAACGACCTTGAGTTGGAGCGCCAAATTCGGACTACCCCGCGAGGTTAGAGCGGCCCTAGGCTACCACGCCAGGGGCCGTGACGGGACCGAGCTCATCTATGGGAGAGACAACATGTCTGCTCCTGTGCGCCAGCTGCAAGGGGTCCTGCTCGAAGTGTCGCGCGAAAGGTTCATGCCGGACGCCACCAGGTCCGGTTACTTCGTGAAGCGCTTTGAAGATCCAGAAGGGATGCCCATTCCTCCTGATGAGGTTTTGTCGGAATCTTCTTCCGAGGCCAGCGAGGATGCCGAGGATGTCGATCATGTAGCTGCGGAGGCGGCCACCGACGAGTTGGGAAGGCAATGGGAGCCCGATGCAGGCTTGCGTGCCGAGCTTGAAGCAGTCCCTTTGTTCAGGAACAGAGACAGCCGTTTCATTCATGCTGTCGCATCCGAAGAAGGCGACAAGTTCAGATGTGGGAGAAACATCTCGACCAGGTATGAGAGGTTGTCTTCCGTCCCTCGAATTTTGTTTCCGCTGTGTAGAAGCTGTTGCCCACCTAAGAAGTGATGCTGAGGAGTGCAGTGAAAAGGAGTTTTTGAGTTTCTGAGCGTTGCGCGCTTAGGCTGAGTGCTTCCAGGAGTGTGTGCGATTTGGAGTTTTCGAGTGACATGCATCAGTCAGAAGCAAGCATCGCGTTCATGAGGAGTCGGCTCAGTCTTAGGAAGTCTGTGCTTGAACCTGGTAAGTCAGAGCTCAGGCCACGAGGTGCGGATTCGGGAGTGTTCTGAGAACTTTCAGCGATTTGTAGGAGTTTCACTAGCTCGGCTCCTGCTCCTGACGATGGCTAACTACTCTGAGAGTCAATCGGTTCTGCAGTCGCGATTGAGTGTCGTGGGTTTCGCAGAAGATGACGTTCAGAAAATCCTGCCAGAGGTGGGAAACTTGAGGAGGTTGGCGTTCATTTCTTCTTTCACACCTGGCCAGACTGACGAGGGGCCGTTGATGCAGGTGTTGAAAGACATTTTGAAGCGAGACTTGACAATTGCAGACAAGGCTAATTGGCGTGCGGTCTACAATGAAGCTTTTGCCATTGTGACCGCGGAAATGAAGCAGAGGATTGAGAAGGCCGACCCAGAGTCGACCGTCAGGCCTTTGTCTCAGCCTGAGAGGTCGGAGCGGTACGAGCGGCAGGCCAAGAAGCTTGTTGGGATTTCACTGAAAGGGCCTCTGGAGCCTGCCGATGCACTTGTTGATCTTGCTGTGGCTTCCTATGAGGCAAATGAGCTGAGGTACATTCCGTGGGACCGGTGTGTGTCCAAGGAAGCTGAACTGGCTGGCGAGAAGAAACGCGATGTCAGGTTCACTGTTGAGGAGTCTTCGGGAAAGCTTCGGATCGAGCACAAACAGCCTGATCTGGTTGCGGATACTTCATCGGAGATTCTTGTTCAGCAGGCTCTCACCAGGAGAGCTTTGGCCATGGATCAGGCGAACCTGATCGAGTTCAGTGTTGCTGATAAGTGGACTCAACGCTTGATGAAGGCCCGCATGCAAGCGCCTGCGGAGCATTTTGCCAGGCCCACTTGGAAGCAACTTGAGTCGGCGGATCGGCAGCTGTTTGCCGAGCTTCGTGATAAGACCAGGGCAGGAGTGCAGACCGTCGCATCGGGTCGCCCGTTGGACACACTTCTGCCAGATGCGATGTACATGAACGAAGTGTCATGTTTATTGCAACCTTTTCCGGCCCCTGCCCTAAAGGATGTTCCCCAGAAGCCGGATGCTCCCAAGTGGGAGAGGCCTTCTCCTTACAACAAAGGTGGAGGCAAAGGAAAGAAAGGTAAGCAGAGGTTCATGACAAGGTTGCCCGCCGGCCTGGAGGGCTGCAGGTCTCACACCAATCGTGGTGACCCAATCTGTTTTGCATTCAATCTGGGAGGATGCCCTACCAAAGGGCAGAAGTGCGAGAAAGGCCTGCACATTTGCGCAGTGCCTAAGTGCGGTGCTCACAACCATGGTGCAGCGCAGTGCCCAAAGCGGGCTCAGGGTGGCTCGTGACTAGCGGGTCACGAGGGTGCGTCGCTGATGGCCGGTGCTCCAGAGAGTGTGCATCAGCCGGCAGCGGGAGCCTCACAGGTGGATGATCTCCTAGAGGGAGTTCATCGGCCGAGCAATGCATGCGCCGGCGGCTCTCCTCCGAGTGGTGTGGAGTGTCGTCTGCAGTCAGGTGTTGATCGAGAGGATCATCACCTGCACAACGTTGGCTCTCACAGTGCCATCTCCAGGCCATCACCAGGTGTGGTGGAGGCCGCACGCAGCAGGTCCCCGAGGCCCCGTGATGGGGCACAGTCGCAGAGAGGTTCTTCACTTGACGAGGGTCATGTGAGTGCCACCGATGTTCTGCGGGTTTTCGATGGTCTTCCTTCGGATGCCTTGAAGAGGGGTGCCGATGCACCTCTCCCAACTTCGAAATCTTATGCCACGGGAGCGTATGTTCTTGGTGGTAATGTAGGCCTGAAGGCCAATGCCTCAGCCAACCCGGAGGCGCTCAAAGTCTTTGCAAGGTTTGTGAGACAGCGTGCACCGGGGTTTAAGTTTTCTTCGATAAATATATTTGAGGATGTTCGCACTGAGCGCCATCGAGATCAGTGGAATGCCAACTTGCATAACTTGGCGATTGCACTGACTGACTTCTCAGGTGGAGCTATCTTTGTGGAGCATGAAAACGGTCGAGATGTATCCGACCTTAATGGTGCACGAGGCTCTCGCTTGCAGGTTGCTAAGGGCCCTGTCCGATTCAATGCCAGACACAATTGGCACTACACCGAGGCGTGGCAGGGCCGTAGAGTCTTGCTGGTTGCATTCACCATCCGTCATGTCGAATCGCTGCGCAAGGAACATCTTGACTTTCTCCGCGAGTGTCATGTTGATGTTCCGGGATGCGCGCCCGAGGGCGCGCGGTTGGCGCCTGCTGAAGCGTGTGCTCGTCAGCTGCCATCCTTGACCTCCCCCGCAGCTCAGGAGTCGCTTAGGCCCTTGCCCGCTTCGGTTGTCCCCGCCGTTGACCCTAAGGAACCTGTGAGCGACCCTGCTAGTCCCTTAAAGCCCGGTTCTGCTCTCTATGTCGAGATAAAGTGTGGGTCCGGATTGCTGCCGGCTCGGGTGCGGCGGGACGGATTTCAAATCATAGCGCTTGAACATTCTCGCCCCGCTGGGCGAGTGCACACTCACCTTGTCCCTGTGGACATTGAAACTGAGTCGGGTTTCTCCTTTGTGCAGACTGTCATCAGCCACGATGCCCCTTTTCACGTGCATTTCTTTCCTGCGACCAAGGATTGTTTTAAGGCTACTTTTAGCGCCGGGCAAACCATTCGCATCGCCAAACTCTTGCTTGCATCTGATTCGCATTGGAGTGTCTTGCATCCCCTGGCGTCAGCCCTGTGGAAACAGCTCGACTTTCCCGACAACCTCCATTGCGTAGACTTCTGTGCAGGTTGCTACGGGGCTCCCAGTCCGGTCAAAATGCGTCTGTGCACAACCCAGGCCGCGCTGGCTGGCATGCCGGTGCCAGCATGTCGTTGTCGCCCCGGGCCCCACGCTGCGGGCTCGCTTGCACCAGATGCCTTGTACACAACCAAGTTCTGTGATGTGTTTGCTGGCCTCCTGCAGCTGGCGGTTGGCCAGTCTGGCCTCTTACTTGAGCACGCTCTTCCTCTGCAGAGTTCGCGGCATTCTGCCGTAGCAGCCGCTGGGCGGCAGCCTCGATTGTCAAAATTCCAGCCGCAGATCGCCGAGTTTAAGTGCCAGGCCACGGTCCGTGAGTTCCCGTGGCCCCTTCCTTTGGATAATAAAGGCAATCTCACATGTGCCGTAGGGTCCATCCCTCCTGGCTCCCGCCTTCTTCGCGTTGTGTGTGATCGGGGGGTCGTCGGTGCGAAACAGGTCGGAGCCTGTCAGGTGTGCCTTCAGCAGTTACCTTTGGCATTTACCGCACGGAACAAGAGTTTGTGGCCCAGGCATTGCATATCGATCATCCCTTCGACTTGTGCGTGGCAGTCCCAGACTTCATGTTGAGAGCGTTGGCTTTTACCTTGAAAGAGGGCCCGGTTGGTGTGATGAAGCACCGTCTGAATTTGCTCCAGCAGTGGACTTCTTGGAAACGCGATTTGGCCGGTGCCGAAGCAAACCTGCATGCTGCCATGGATCCTGGTGTAGCTTCTGTTATGAAGGGCAAGAACATTTTGCTTTTGGAAAAAATTGCATCGTCTTTCGGTTGGCCTGACACTGAAGTCTTCGAACACCTTAAGCATGGGTTTCCCTTAGTGGGGGAGTCGAGTCCTTCTGGCATCTTCGATGTGGATAGAAAACCGGCTCTGATGACAAGGGCAGAGCTTGTGCAGCATGCTAAATTCCTTAGGCCTGCGCTGTGGGCGAAGGTGGCGAACGCGGAGGTGGATGATTTAGCTCGGGAAGTGTGGGATTCCACACAGCAAGAGATGCTAGTCAAGGAGTGGCTAACCGGACCTTACTCGTGGGACGAGCTGCAGGCCCGTCATCCAGAAGGCTGGCTTCCAGTGCGGAGGTTCGGCATTGTGCAAAAAGCCAAGACGCGGTCGATAGACGATTTGGCCGAGAACTCTGTAAACTGCGCCTATGCTGTTTCCGATCGGATTTCTTTGAGGGCCCTTGATGAATTGGTCTGGCTTGCGATCACCCTCTTTAAGATCTTCATTGCAAAAGGCGAGGTGAGCATCCCTTTGTCGGACGGCGACCATCTTCGCTTTCCGGTGCATTCTTTCTGGAGGGCCCTGAAACCCGATGCGCTTCAGCCAAGCTTGAAAACAGTGGACTTGAAGAGTGCTTATAAACAGTTGGCGGTTTCTCCACGAGACCGCTGTCTGAGCATAGTGGCCATCAAGGACCCGGTCTCGAGGCTTGCGTTTGGCTTCGAGAGCCGAACCCTTCTGTTTGGGGCCACCTCGTCGGTGGTTTCATTCAATCGCGTTGCAAGATTGCTCCAGAGGGTTCTGGTTGCCTTGCAGGTGCTCGCCTGCAACTACTTCGACGATTACCCGGTTTTAGAGGTCTTGCCGCTTTGTAACAACACGCAGTCGACTGTCAGAGCCGCGTTGGACCTGCTGGGTTTCGCCTGGGCGGAAGACAAGGATCTTCCCTTCAGCCATGAGGCTGAGCTACTAGGCGTTCGGGTTGACCTTGGCAGCTTTGGGGTAGTTAAGATTGGGAATAAGCCCGAACGTGCTACTGCCATCGCTGAGGCGGTGGACTCCGTCTTGAGTGCGGGCCATCTTGATCCGAAGACCCTGCCGTCTTTGTTCGGTCGCCTCCAGTTTGCCGAGGGTCAGCTGCACGGGCGATTGGGCAGATTGGCACTGGCCGACCTTAGGGCGTGCACGATGAGTTCTCAGGCCAAAACCCTTGATGCCACGGCTGTGCAGGCCCTTTGTAATCTTAGGTCCCGGGTTCTTGGGGGTACCCCTAGGATAGTCCCGGCTTGTGTAGGGTCTCGTCGTTCTGTGATTTTCACAGATGGAGCGTACGAGCCGACAAATGAAACTCACCCCGCCACTGTCGGAGGAGTCTTGTACCATTTCGACAATGGCGCGTGGTGCACTTTCTTCTTTGCATGTGCTATCCCTTTGAGCGTTGTACAGAGCTGGGAGGCTCTCGGGAAAAGGCATTTGATAGGCCCAGTTGAGATGTATGCAGTGGTATGTGCGAGAGAAGCGTGGGCAAAGCACTTGGACATGCAAAGGGTGACCATGTATGTGGATCACTCCGGAGTGTTGGCCTCTTTGGTGAAAGGCTCTTCGAAAGACCCTTTGTGGAGGCAACTCTTGTTGATCTTTGAGAGCTGCGACGCTGAGGCGATGCTCCCTTGGTTTAGCCGCGTTCCAAGTGCAAGTAACCCGGCCGATCCTCCTTCGAGAGCTAAGTCAATCTTTCCAGTCAGGGGGCAGGTGTGCAGAGTGTCGCCTCGATGCCCGATCAAAGGCAATGCCACGATTGATCTCCTTCTTAAGTGAATGGGGTGTTCGTTGGCGATCCTCGTGTTCGCCATCGATCGGTGCGGGGATGTCACGACTTCCCCCTTCGGCTTTGCCGGAAGGAAAAAGCGCCACATCTGCTTGAGCAATTTTCTTATTCTTTATATACTTTGATTTTCCCATATAGCTTGGGAATACTGTGATTGGAATCTTACTTTAGAAATAAAGCAAAGCTCCGTGGAAAATAAGCGACACATGAGGCTTGCCTCTATTAGCTTTATTTTCCTAGGAGAGTTTTGAAAATTACTGCGAAGTTTTCAAAACGCCTTTGCTTTATTTTGAACCACATTTCATGGCATGAATGCATGCTTTGAATCGTCTGAGTTCATCTCTTTTATTTCCCGCGCCGCCTCGAGACAGGGGTGGGATGGGTGGGTAGCTACTCCCTGGCCAAAGGGCCGGAAAATTTTGTCCCTCCCTCCACTCCCGGGGTGTTCGTTGGCGATCCTCGTGTTCGCCATCGATCGGTGCGGGGATGTCACGACTTCCCCCTTCGGCTTTGCCGGAAGGAAAAAGCGCCACATCTGCTTGAGCAATTTTCTTATTCTTTATATACTTTGATTTTCCCATATAGCTTGGGAATACTGTGATTGGAATCTTACTTTAGAAATAAAGCAAAGCTCCGTGGAAAATAAAGAAGCGCACTGCCTTGCTGGCTACATGCCGCCTTCCAGGTCTCATGTTGCAGTGTGACAAATCACACGAACACAAGAAATGGGGTCGTGTGCGCGATCCGGACGGGCGTGGTGTGCACTATGCCACTGCCGAGGAAACCGCTTACCCAGCCGGCCTGTGTACGGCCGCCGCCCGTGAGATCTGCTTGGCATTGCAAAATAAGGGGATTATGCTTGATGTGCGCGCATCTTCGGACACAGCCCTGGCATCTTCCTTTGCACAGCGGCAGCCTCGCCGCGGCCGCGGCATTGTGGGTCCGCCTGAGTACAAACGGACTGTCCTTGTCCGGCTCCCTCGTGACTTTCAGCCCCCGGACCATGTGCCAGATGAGCCACTTGCAGTGCTTCGTGACGTGCCTGCGGGCTCCAAGCTTCTGTGGACTCGCGTCTTTGTTGATGGGGGTGTTGAGGTTCGCGAGGCCCAATTTGGGGTATACCATACACCGGATGAGTTTCTGCATGCTGCCTTGAAAGTGACCCATCCCTTCGACAGTGCAGTGTCTATTGACGGCCCGAACCTGCGGGCAATTGCATTCACTCTTGAGCATGGTGTTAAGGCTGTGCAGCAAAGACGTATGGAGGTCCTTGAGCACTATCGTGCACTGGAGCACTCTCTGAGGTCTGATGAGGAGGCTCTTAAGCAGGCAATGGACCCTACGGTACGGGAGATCATGGGCAACAAGAAGTTGCTCTTGTTCAAACAGATGCTGAAGGATGCAGGTGTTCCTGATGAGCGCCTCTTCGAGGATATGGTTCAGGGATTTCGGTTGACTGGTCCCCTTGAGCCTTCGGGTTTGTTTCCACCTAAGTATAAGCCTGCCGTCATCTCGGTGGATGAATTGCGGCGCACTTCGCAGTGGTCCAAACACCTTGTCGAGGCTGCGTGTCGGAAGGCTTCACAGGATCCTGAGATTGCGAGGGCTGTTTGGGATGAATCGTTGGGGCAAGTCGAGAAGGGATGGTTGTCGGGACCATTCACATGGGATCAAATGGATCAAAAGTATGGGGGCACTTGGGTGGCGTCCAAGCGCTTCGGGGTGTCCCAGGGCGACAAGGTGCGTGCTGTCGATGATCTCTCGCAGTTTCAGGTGAATGCTTCGGTTACTGAGACCGAGAAGATTCAACTTGAAGGCCTTGATGACATTGTTGCCCTTGCGAGATTCCACTTGGGTGCCACTGTGTCGGGCACCAAGGTTTTCAGGCTCCCCTTGTCAGGCGGCGGCGTCTACCAGGGCCGATTGCATCCTGACTTCAGGGAAGGTCGGGCACGGCGCTTGAAAGGCAGGGCTCTTGACTTGCGGAGCGCATACAAACAGCTAGCTCGGCACCCCGCCGACGATTGGGCTTCGGTGCTAGGAGTCTTAGATCCAGACACCAACACTGTGGCCTATTTTGAGAGCCACGCTCTCCCGTTCGGCGCATCGAGCGCGGTGACAGGCTTCAACCGGGCTGCGCGTGCATTGCGCATTATCATGTCCAGACTTTTGTTCCTTGTGAATACGTCATTCTTTGACGATTTCTGCCAACTTGAGATTGATGATCTGACTGATTCTGCGGATCAGGCGGCGCTTGCACTGCTTGATCTCCTTGGCTGGGAGGTGTCCGATGGCGAGAAGTTGAAACCTTTCGCTTCAGAGTTCACCATGCTTGGTGCAGTGCTATTCTTCAAAGATGCGGGTAGGGGTCTGATTAGGGTTAGGAATAAGGCCGGTCGCTTGGAGGAAATTTCTTCCATGGTAGATCGCTTTGCTGCTGACCCCGCATGTGGGGCGCGATCCCTCCCGTCGTTGAAGGGCAAGCTCTTGTTTGCATCTTCGCATGTGTTCGGTCGCTGTGCTCAGGTTGCGACTCAGCTGATTCACCATGCCGAGCGACAACCTGGTCCTGACGTGCATGGTTTCGTCTTGCAATCCCTCAGGAGGGCGCTTGAAACACTTAGGGCAGCTGGGGATCGTCAGGTGAACCTGTGGTCTGAGCAGCCGCCAGTTGTCATCTTTACGGATGGTGCATGTGAGGAGAAGGGCAATCAGGTGACACATGGGGCGGTCATCGTTGACCCGGCTTCGCAGACTCGCGAGGTGTTCGGTGGCCACACCCCCGAGGATCTTGTGACAAAGTGGCGGAGCTCAGGCCGGACTCAGCTCATCTTCTTTGCAGAGCTTTGTCCTGTCTTGATTGCGAGACGGACTTGGGCTAAAGTGCTGCGTAACAGAAGGGTACTGATCTTCGTGGACAACGAGGCAGCGAAGGCGGCCTTGATCAGAAATTATTCTCCTTTGTTGGATGCCGCTCATATGCTTTCTGACATTGCCGAGCTTGATGTCGAGCTCAGCTGTTTTCCATGGTATTGCAGGGTGCCGTCCAAGAGCAATTTTTCCGACGCTGCTTCCAGACTGAGCTTTGGGGAGTATGAGGAATGCTTCCGAAGGATTCAGCCCACTCTGGAAGCCTGTTGATCAGACATGCGCGGTGTGTTTCGGATGGGGGGTATGTGGCACCGCTTATGATGAGCATTGGCCGTCATGAGCTCTGTGCTGGAACATCCTGTGATGTGCATTGGCCGTCACGGGTATTCCACTTTTACTTTACGGCATGTTCCGTTTCGAATGCGACTGGTGCCATCCCCCGTCGGAAAACAAATCGGCCGTGTGTGCGAGTGCTCTGCATGTTTCCCATATGTGGATTGAATATATTCATCAGTCATGTCTATATTTCTTTGATGAAAGGAAATAGTTCACTTGTGAAGTTTTCCCTTTTGTCGAGATTACATTTGAAAGGATTGGCTCATAAGGATAAAGACAATCTCACGTTCGTGATATCCTCTTATCCTTTCGCCAACAGGTGATATGTTCACCGTCCTTTCTTTGTAATCGTTTAATCACGCCTTTGTGAAAATGCTCATGGTGCTCCCGGGCACAAATGTATTTGGGCATGCCGCATGAATTCTGTCCTTTATCTTGAAAAGTAGTCGGATTCGCTTTTAAATGTGTCGACTACTTTCAAAGCTTAGACACTTGTTGTCTGATGGAACCATGCTCCACCGAAGGTTTTGGCTCCGATGCGGAGTTCACATGTGAAAAATTTTGACCCGCCCTCCCACCCTGGGGGGGTATGTGGCACCGCTTATGATGAGCATTGGCCGTCATGAGCTCTGTGCTGGAACATCCTGTGATGTGCATTGGCCGTCACGGGTATTCCACTTTTACTTTACGGCATGTTCCGTTTCGAATGCGACTGGTGCCATCCCCCGTCGGAAAACAAATCGGCCGTGTGTGCGAGTGCTCTGCATGTTTCCCATATGTGGATTGAATATATTCATCAGTCATGTCTATATTTCTTTGATGAAAGGAAATAGTTCACTTGTGAAGTTTTCCCTTTTGTCGAGATTACATTTGAAAGGATTGGCTCATAAGGATAAAAAAGATCTACATGGTACTATACAAAACGAAAAACTATACATGCTACCTAGGTACTGGCTCGTTTCACGTACCACATGTGCACCTGCCACCGAGTAAATTTCGGCCAATGCATGCTCTTGCTGCTGCACGTCGACCGTTCGTCGTTGCCGCCCTCGTACTCGTTGCCGCCCTCGTACTCGGAGTACTCTGGGTCACTATCGTCGAGCGCCATCTCCATTTCCACATCCGACATGATCGCGGCCATCGCAGCTAGCAAAAGGCAAGCTATCGGCAAGTACTAAATATCTCGAGCACAGCGATCGAAACGAAAAAAGTGTAGGCGTGCTTGCTCGCAACTTGCACACTGTATCCTCTTAACATATATACATCGATCCAGGAGCAGTAATATATGCTCCTCCTCAATTTCAATCATACATGCATGCATGCATGCATGTGCATGCAATGTACGATTTAGGCCATCGCTGATAGCATAGATCGCTCGCTTGTATGTAACAGTGGCCTTTCAACGCTGCTACACCCGACCAGCTTCAAAACCTACGCTGCTAAGCTCTAGCATCCGCTGTTAACGGCTATCAGTGTCGTCTAGGCGCTTTTACTACATCTAACCGCCGCTGCTAAGCCTACCAGCTTCAAAACCGATGGACTGGGTGTTTGCGTTCCTTGACAGTGCCCCGCTATTGCGCTCCCAGGGACTCGCATTCAGTCCCTCGAGTCGAGCTCATGCGCCGCCCACTCCCCTCTTGCCGACTTGCGGGGCTCTGTTCCACGGACCTCTGTCTGTAGGTCTCTTAGGTTCGCCTTCACTCGACGAGTGTCTGCGTTGTCCTGGAAACCACAGCTCATGCGCTCCCGCATGCGCTTCCACTCCCTGCCTTAAGTAGAACCCTACGTGCCTACCCAGTTACTCTCTCTTGTCAAACGTGCGGGTCTGGACGACCTACGTCTGTAGGTTTCCAGGGTTCGTCTACTCTTGCTCGACGTGTGTTTGCTTTCTCTGAGAGACCAGCACTCTCACGGATTCGCATCCACTCCCACGTGTATAACGTGTAGACCACTTCACACGTAACCCCCACCTGGACAGAGGAGAGTTTGCTGATGAGGTCTTCTCGTGCTTGGGAGTGGCGGTCGAGAGGAGTGCCGCGCTTGCCGAGCAGTTTGTCTACGCAGAACGGGGTAACAAGAAAGAGCGCATGCAGCCGAGCCAAATGTCCCAGCTGCGATTCCGCAAACACCCGAATTCGGAGGCAGGAGGGGGAGGTGCTGGTCCCAGTCCGAAGCGTCGGTGGAGAACTTGGACCAGGCGACCCCTATACCGGAAGCTTGGCTGCCGGTTTCGAGGCTCTGCAGAATGACAGGGAGATGTGCCAGGCCGCGGCCGTAGTGTTCGATGTCATCTACGTAGCCCGCGGCCACGACCCGTCGACCTGTGCTGGTGAAGTAGCGCGAGACACTTCCAGTGAGGAGACGGCGCCTTGAGGCACGCCATGTGCAACAGGCAGAGGAGGCGTCAGGCCAGATCTGGCGCTAAGTTGGACGCTCATATTGGAGAAGAAGGCGTGATGCAGGCGACGGAATCGGGAATGCATCGGCAGCGGCAGGCAACATCAAGGTGCTCTCTCTCTAGCAAGTGCTGCGCCTGGGATGAGGTAGCTGCGATGACCCAGTGGGTGCTTGGCGGAGTGCTCGGCTACGCCCCTCTCTTGGGCATCCCTCCCTCGACGGACGTGCAGAGCGAAGACCGCCGCTCTCCTGCGTGCAGGACTTGGTGTGAATCTGCCGGGAGCCTGGGCGTCCCGGTATACTCTCCGGCCGAGATGCTCGTAGCCGCTGTGGCTTCTGACCTGCTTCTGCTGCTCAACGGAACCTCTCAAGCTGGTAGGTCTCGATATCAAAAAGTCCTCAAGCAGGCTCCCCTATCCCCTTTCCCACAAGACCAAGGCTGTTATGCAGCCCGCCTGTCCACGTCCCCTGCTGACGTCCGTGTGCCTTCAGGTGCCGTTTGCCTGATTCTCTGATCAAGGTTATATGGTCACCAC